TTCACCTGACAGAAACCTGGAATTGTCTTGCAAAATTAAGGACTTCTTTAGTAATCACCTGAGGTGTGACAGCAACATCCGCTGGTGATTCACCCTCAAAGTTGGTGAGTACTGGATCAGCTCCGGCAGCTAATAGAAGAGCAACCACTGATTCCATGCCTCTTCCAGCAGCAATGTGTAGAGGAGTGATCTCATCAAATGTCATAGCATCTGGATCAGCATGGCACTCGAGTAGAAGGCAGTTTATCATGGACAGGTTTCCTGCCTCGACTGCATGATGAAGGCCAGAACGCCCGCTTTTAGCATCCTGAAAAAAAAAAAGTTGAAATATATTTAATGAGATCGCATGTTCTATACATAGTACTAGGTACTTACCACTCAAGGAAAACTAATAGACTTGTTTCAAATCATAAAAATTCATACTTTGATCAGAGGTAGCGGGATATTAAACAAGAGAAATGGCATAGAGATTTAGGAATGATTAATTAATTTTTCATTTTATTCCCATCAGCCAAGTACTATAATTATTGTAAGGAGCACAAATTGTGTGAATCATGAACCCCTAACTGCCCAGCACCTTATTCTACTAATTTCCTTGTTGATCAGTAGAAGAAGTAAGTCACCAAGGGTCATCTGGCTCTACAAGAGTACAGCCCAGATCAGGGTCATAAAATTTAACTTTCCGTTGTCTACTTTTATGTTATGCCACTTTACCAAACCTTCTGTGCTTTTTTGGAAAATAACCTGCAGAAATAGTTATTTTTTGCTATAAAAAATAAATTAGAAATCTTTTAAACAACAGCAAAAAAGGCCGCTGTTTCATAACAGTTTTGTTTTTACAAGTAAGTGCATCATTGTACTTGAGAAGGAGTCTAGTAACCATATTAGTTAGTTCATGAAAAGTACAACATCTTTAGTTGTTATTTACCTGTGCGTTGACGTTTGCTCCAAGAGATACCAAATAATTGACAATCTGAACACTATTTTTAAACACTGCTCTGTGTAAAGCTGTAAAACCTGGGAAGATGAAATAGGGAAATGTTGTTTTATCACCTACTGATCAGATTTTGTCACTGCGCTGTACATTGTTGAATGTCATTGGGCGAATCAACTGCAATTCTTGGAAACACTTTATCTGAGGAAGCCCAGTTTAATCTAAACTTCAAGGGGTTAGTAGGCACAATGCCAAATTTTAAACCCCTTATGACATCCAATTCACTTTATCAACTTGATTTATTTAATCAAACAGAAATATTTTTATGAGTCGATCAACTCTAAACTGAGTATAGACACACCCAATGCATAAGAGTTTAAAAAATGCACTCTTATTCAAAAAAAGAATTTGCTTGTCAAGCCAAAAGTAGCTCCAAGGTTCCTTTAGCTTAAGAATGCGAAAATTTGCAATCAAAAGCTGAGGGAAATACTTGACAAAACGAAACTACACTAGCGATTAATTTTCGTTTCCCTTCAATACCTTGGGGGGAAACCCCACTAAGACTATTGTTCTGCCAACGGAAACTGCAAACGAATATGCTTCCAAAGCACATTTTTTCTCGTTTTCCTTTTCATATCCAATAGCCCAAAGGGAAAACCCCTGATTTTTGAAGTCATCAAATCCAAACAACTTACGTGGATGTGAAATATTAATCTGCGGGGGTTGAATATTCGAAATTTCTGCAATCTTCAATTTCCCTTACCATCGAAATCTCTCTCTTGTAACATGTTGTAAACTCTTTCTTTTATTTCATCAGTCCACCTTTTCTCTAGTAAAGGCCTTACGATTTCTTTAACGCAGTCAAAATCACCTAACTCGCACGCTAGATGCAAAGCTGTTCGGCCATGACGGTCGGTGATGTCCACAGTAGCTCCGGCTTCTAGTAATCGGCGAAGTGCGGCGGGTTGTCGAGTTACGGCCGCGAGATGAAGGGGTACCTAAAATATCAAAAGAATTTCTTATTTGTCTTTAATCACTCAAACAATAAGCAAAAGTGCATATAAAGCAAAACACTGAAGAAGCTAAGGTGGTTTTAGACTGTCTTCTTGCGATGGCCGCGAACTTATTTCGGAACGAGCAGTTCAGGATATCTCAAGATTTGAATTGTAGTTTGTTTCTGTTAGCGTACCTGTCTAAGATCGTTGTAAATGTCGAGGCATTCCTTACACGGTGCAACTGAGATGATAGCGTCCGTTTCCATCGGCCTCATGTTAATAATCGCTAAATGTAAAGCTCTAAAACAACAAAAACAAGTATACGTTATTACTGATGAATATTATTATGAATAATGGCATCAATATTTTCTGGGAAATAGACTCTTTTCTCGGGGATTTCGCACACTCGGGGTTATCTTTTTGAGCAATAATTTCTAAAAAAAGAAACATTTAACAGCAAAGTATATGTAAAAGGGGGCAAGAAAATGACAGAAGAAGACAGAATATTTTAATACACATTTTTGGCATAACACAAAAAGTGATCCGGCCTATTTTCGCGCGATGGTCACCGAGCACCAGTACGCCATTGTAAGCTGATAATTTTTCTTTTCGTATTCTTCTTACTGGAAATTACCAAACTGTTCCCCTCAGTTTCAAATCTACAGGTAAATGGGAAACTTATGTTGAAGAAAAAACATCAGACAACCAGAACTTAACAGGAGCCATAATTCTTTTCGCCACTAAGCTGAAGGTCAAAGCGGTCGACTAACGATGTCGCGAGGGAAACATTTTGTTTTGCACGTAGGAAGTTTAAGAAGAAACAATTCTACTTACGTATCTCCATCCTCGTCTGGCATAAACATCAAACGCCTAAAATGTTCCTGGGCTAGTAAATATCTCACATCGTTACGCTGAGCGTAATTTAAATAAAGTTCTTCACTTTGCGAAAACCCTTCCTTGGATGAAGATGACGACGAAGGATGTCTTGTGTTCGTTTCGTGATCGTCGATGGTTAAATTTTGCGTACATTCTTCAACGCTACGCATTTGTGTCTCACTACACACTTCCATGCTTCGAGACCGCAACTCTTCGTCGTCAACAAACCCAGAATCGCACTGTTCGGAGGCCGTCACTGCTAATTTTCCTTCGTTTCGAGTCAGAGACGCCAGCTTTTGTCGCGTAATGGCGCTCGGTTGCGCTCCTCGGGGAATAAGCTTTCGTTGTTGCTTTGATGCTGAATCCATTGCTTCGAAAGACATTTTTTCCTTTCTGCGAAAGGTAACTGAAAATGTCTCGTAAAATTTCACTAAAAAAACCAAATTCAACACAAGATGGTATCAAAACTTCCTTTGCAGTTCGAAGGGCGAGCAATGGCGGATACTCTTGTATATACCGTCTCTCCTATGGAAAGGGAATGTCCCTTTCTCTGTTCACGTGATAAAATTGTCCAATGAAAATTCCTTTTTGAAACAAATCAACCAATCAGCAGTGGCACACCTAGGGGAAAAAAACATTTCGGGGAGGGGGTAACCCAGTGCTTTCTGGTCGTGCAGGTATGACAACAATGCCAAGCACTCCGTAATCAACAATGGATTATTTATTAGGGGATTCCCCGAAATTTCGCATTTCGCAAGTGCTGCTGACGCTTGGAGAAGGTTCTAATTGCGTTGGTTGCGTACTCGGTTTAGCTTTTCATTATAATGATGACTACGTATTTCTCTCCTTTATTGGCTTTTAAGGAGATATTGGTATTTTTCCTGATAAAAAGTTTAAACGCAAATTCGCGAATGAGCGTCACGCACAGGGTATTTTTTTGGGGAAACCACTAACCAAAGGTCGATCACGTCTCGGCTTGCTTTGCTTGCAATTCTTCCAAAACGGCGGTGAAACGAAAAAACNCGCATTTGTGTCTCACTACACACTTCCATGCTTCGAGACCGCAACTCTTCGTCGTCAACAAACCCAGAATCGCACTGTTCGGAGGCCGTCACTGCTAATTTTCCTTCGTTTCGAGTCAGAGACGCCAGCTTTTGTCGCGTAATGGCGCTCGGTTGCGCTCCTCGGGGAATAAGCTTTCGTTGTTGCTTTGATGCTGAATCCATTGCTTCGAAAGACATTTTTTCCTTTCTGCGAAAGGTAACTGAAAATGTCTCGTAAAATTTCACCAAAAAAAACCAAATTCAACACAAGGTGGTATCAAAACTTCCTTTGCAGTTCGAAGGGCGAGCAATGGCGGATCATCTTGTATATACCGTCTCTCCTATGGAAAGGGAATGTCCCTTTCTCTGTTCACGTGATAAAATTGTCCAATGAAAATTCCTTTTTGAAACAAATCAACCAATCAGCAGTGGCACACCTAGGGGAAAAAAACATTTTAGGGAGGGGGGTAACCCAGTGCTTTCTGGTCGTGCAGGTATGACAACAATGCAAAGCACTCCGTAATCAACAATGGATTATTTATTAGGGGATTCCCCGAAAAATTAATGAATTTCGCATTTCGCAAGTGCTGCTGACGCTTGGAGAAGGTTCTAATTGCGTTGGTTGCGTACTCGGTTTATTTTTTCATTATAATGATGACTACGTATTTCTCTCCTTTATTGACTTTTATGAGATATTGGTATTTTTCCTGATAAAAAGTTTAAGTGCAAATTCGCGAATGAGAGTCACGCACAGGGTATTTTTTGGGGGAAACCACTAACCAAAGGTCGACACGTCTCGGCTTGCTTGTATGTAATCCTTCCAAAACGGCGGTGAAACGAAAAGACAAACAAAAACTATTGGACACCTGACGACGTTATAAAGAAGAAAACTGAAGGGGGTTTCGAAGAAAAATTGTACGAAAATGTGATTTCATCAAGAAAGTGCAATTTCTGCCAATGAATACCACTGAGAATAGATAAACAAAATGTGCTAACTGTGCACGCTAAACCCTCGTGATTTATGAAACTGTTGAACTGCTGAGAACGGTAGAAAATTTGCCCAATCCCGATCCAAGTAACTTGCCCTTAAAACAATTAAAGCAGAAAATACGCTGTATAGACTCTTTACCGGGAATGAATCTTTCTTGGAGATGTCAAAATTCTACTTCTTGCGCTTGCGTTGACTCGTGTTGCAAATATCAGGGTTTTCTACCTGCGGCCATAGGGAGCCTCTTTGAATTTCCGGGCGGGCGACCGTAATTATCGATATTGGTCCGAGTAAACAGCATCATCAAAACTGAAGGGCGCTGACAGGGAAATGGGAAAAGTGCTCATATATAACATTTGTTTGTGAAAATTTAGAACCGCGTTCAAAAAAGAAATTATGATCAGTGTGCCCATTTTGGTTCTTTCACCGCTGATGCTTTATGTTCCGGCATCCCCAAGACGACCCTTTTATAATACGTCTCCGAAATTAGCAAAGTTTGAGACGACAAAATAAATTCTTGCTGTTCAAGAAATGCCGATCATCCACTGAAAAGGTTCTTCGGCTGTGCGGTACTAGTTAATGCTCCCGATTTCACTAAAAGTAAGCCCAAAGTGTCAGTGTCAAGAAAAATAATAAAAATTGCATCTTGTAAAGTTAAGTAAGACAATAAAAGTAACGAAAAAGCAAATACAAGACCAAGAGCCCTTGAAGAGATTTCATTCGAATTGCCATACTACTGGAATTTGTCCAGAGATAGTTGCACCCTCGACTGACCGGATTATTTTGACTGACTATTTTGTTTTGTACGTAAAATTACAGCGAGGACCTGTACCGTCCTGTACCCATCTCTAACAATCTTTGGGATCAAAAGGTTACAATTTGCAAAACGGAAACCATATAAAGCCCCTTAACAGTAGCCTTAAATTTTGTCAGTGTCTGCGGTTGCAAATGGAATAAAGCCGGTTGGGTTGATCCGGAATTTTTGCTTGTGAAGTAACTATTGAACAGCTAATATCGCTCTTCCCATAACCCAGCCTGCCCGTAAGCCGTACACGTTACTTCCTGGAAACAATAACAGCCTTATAATAGACCACGTCAGTGATAATAATTGCAATTTTGTGCGATTAAAGTTTTGAGATAAATCAGTTCCATGTTGGAATTCAAACGGGGTCCGGCGCTTTCCGACCACATTAAAAGTTGCAAATTATTGTAAATTAAACATTTAGATTTCATATTACAGATTTCCCGGGAATATCCCACGAAGTAAAACAATGAAAGAGAAACTGAAAAAAAATTGGCAAAATATACGAGCAAGGTTTTTCTTCCTCTTTCAGTTTGGAATGAAGGTAGCAACAGTCACAGCTATAAAACTTGGTATGTGTTGTTTGGTCTGGGAACTGGCTTCTAGCAGGCTTTTCATGTAAAGAGTGTGATGTGGAAGGCAGGCAAGAGATTGCTTGTCCAAACCCTGTCAAATGTTAAGGCGCTGAAAACGAAGGGGAAAAGGCCAAGAATAGCCTCCTACCACGTACACATCTTCCTGTGGCTCGTCACAAAGTCTCCCCCATCAGCTCATCATCAAGAACAAAGGAGAGGGAATTTAACCGCTCGTTTCAGCAGACCCTCGTGGGGGATCAGAGGAACGCATGACAAAGCCTTAATAGGTCTTAATAACTGCGTGGGATGCTAGCAGTAGAGTAAAGGGACGAGGAATTAGGAAGACACAGAGATCTAACAATAGCAATAGAACTCAACATTTTAGCGTGAAAATAGATACCGTAAAATTCCGAAAATAAGCCCCTCCATGTATAAGCCGGCTCCAAATATAAGCCCCCCCCCCCCCCCCCCCCCCCCCCCCCCACACCCCAAACCGGTGAGGCGAAAAACCCTTCGTTAAATCGCCCCTCCAAATATAAGCCCCTTAGGGGCTTGTACCTGGAGAATTGCCATCAAATACAAAGTAAAACAAAGAAAAAACGGTAAATTTACTTCAAACTATGAGGCTAGCCCAATCGATTTGTAAACGAAAATTTCCCTCAGTAGATAAGCCCCTCCGAACATAAGCCCCTCCAAAGTAAGCCTCTCAAAAAGGGCCTTTGAAAAATATAAGCCCCGGGGCTTATTTTCGAAATTTAACGGGACTTTCCCTTGATTTTCCGTCCAATATCACTCCGCCTTCCCCCAGTACAAAACAACCAGCTAATACTCGGCAATATAAGTTAGTTGCTCTACTGAGAATGCTGTTTACTTTTACAGCCAGTGAAAAAATATATATATATATAATTATTTCCAAGGGGGAAAGTTTCACAAATCAAAGCATGAAAAAACGCTAATTATTCATGATCAGTAACTTTGTTGTTTATTTGCCAACCTCTGCTACCACTGATGTAAGTGTATATTAGTGTATTATGAAACAATACTGAATGCAGGGCTGGCACTACGGCAAAGGGCTGATTTGTTATATTGGCCAATATTTCGGCTGACAAATTTAGCCTTCCTCAGGGCCAAAGCTATACCGAGAGAAATACTTAGATTTCCAGCAAGAGGACCCAGTCAGTTGTATTAGTGTTGCGTGGACCTCTGCATTCAAACAGTTCTTCCTAGTGTATTATAGCTACACGAAAAGGGCGAGACGTCTCCCTTTACGACGGGAAAATTTAGAAACTAACTTTGTCAATATCCACATTCTTGTACTTGTGTATGTGGAGCATTGCTAAAGAGGACAGCCTCTCCTCACTCATAGTGCTTCGAAGAGGGGTTTTCAGTCTCTTCATGCCAAAGTGTCAGTGTCAAGAAAAATAATAAAAAATGTATTTTATAAAGTTAAATAAAATAATAAAAGTAACAAAAAAGCAAATACAAGACCAAGAACCCCTGAAGAGATTTCATTCGAATTTCCATACTATTGGAATTTGTCCAGAGATAGTTTTTGCACCCTTGACTGGCCGGATTATTTTGACTGACTGTTTTGTTTGTACGTAAAATTACAGCGAGGACCTGTACCGTCCTGTACCTCTCTCTAACAATCTCTGGGATCAAAAGGTTACAATTTGCAAAACGGCAACCGTAGATATAAAGCCCTTTCGCAGCCGAGTGGGTTTGATTGCGTTTGTCATTCGCAGACCAGCTTTAAATATAGTCAGTGTCTGAGGTTGCAAATGGAATAAAGCCGGTTGGGCTGATCCGGAATTTTTGCTTGTGGAGTAACTATTGAACAGCTAATATCGCTTTTCCCATAAGCCAGCCTGCCCATAAGCCGTACACGTTACTTCCTGGAAACAATAACAGCCTTAGACCACGTCAGTGATAATAATTGCAATTTTGTGCGATTGAAGGTTTGAGACAAATCCGT